TTTGTTGCCTCTGAGTAGGAATGGTTGCAAAAAGTAAAATTTGGGCTATTATCACCACAGTTTCAAGCACCTAATCAATAATTTATTAATTAATCCTGTGACTAGGATGGGGGAATAAGGCTCATGAAGAGCTGAGATCTGATTCCCATAGAGTCCACATCAGGGAACTTCATTTTCTCTAACATTTTATTTAATATGTATTGATTCTGTAGTACTCAGAGGATCTTATACTGGGATCAACTGAGAATTCATCCGTTCACTCATCCATTTAGTTGTTTATTCATCCATTTATATTTAGGAGCACCTTTTCTTCACCAACGAGCCCTGGGGGTGCAGTGGTTAAAGTGCTCGGCTGCTAACCAAAATGTCAGTGGTTCGAACCCACCAGGCGCTCTGCAGAAGAAATATGTGACAGTCTGCTGCCAGTAAAGATTTACAGCCTTGGAAACCCTATGGGGCAGTTGTCTTCTGTCCTACGGTGTCTCTATGAGTCTGAATTGACTCAACGGCAGTGGAGTTTTCTTTGTCAGGTGCTAAGCAAATTTATAAAGCTTAAAAAGGAAACAAGTTTCATTTGGATAGAATAGTAAGATCGATCATAAACCAGCAAATGCCTATGCACAGTATTTAGTACCTAACCCACCCAAGGTGATTAAAGCAAATCCAACAATTTAGTCCTTGGCTAAATTGGAAACATTGTTTGTTCTCTCCAAATCTGGTGTCCTCTGCAACCTGTGTGACTCAGTTCTTCAGCATAAATCATGAAGAAGGCTTTGCATCATTCTAATAAAACGCAGTTTGGATTTGTCTTGATTGACTTTGTACAAGAAGACTTGCAAGGTAAGAAGGTATTATTTTTTCCTTTAGTTACAATTTGTGAAGAGAGTTGTCATTTCCTCAAATTATTTTGGGGAGAGAGATGTGAAAAGAGGACTATGTTGTGTTTGTGAGACAGCTGACTGCCCTCTGGGTGTGGGTGACCTTCAAGAAACATGTCCAGACATTGGTGCAGGTTTTGCTACACCAGAAACAACTAGTCTTTGCTGCTAAGAGTTTCAGACGACAAAAGATGGGCAAGGACTTCAATGACTGCAAAGACATTAGTTCATCCTGACATTTGGGAGAGAGAAAAGTCAATTATTTAATTAAGACAAAAAGTTGAGATGAAAGAACTTATGCTAAACCTATTAGTAATTCTCAGCTCCATTGGGTTCGCTAATCCAGAATTGGGGAATATAGCTTCTGGAATATAGTTACTGGAACTAGCATTTGGTCTTCAAATTTTTCATTCTCCCTGGATGAAGACCTGAAATTCTGAAGTTGTTCTTCAACCTGACCCTGCTAGTTTATAATGCTGCATTTTAACTACATCACTGGGCTTGTGAAAGAAACATTTACACCACAAAAAACATATGGATTTGATAACTTACCCTCGAAAATCAAAGACATCTGGGATTTTTTGCTATAAACATTTTTTTGAAAGTCTAAACACAAAGAACTGGTCCAGTTCATTAATATTTTGGGATGAATTTAGTTACATGTTGTAACAGAAATAAGTTGTGCCTAGCTTTACGTAGTTGAAAAAAAACCTCAAAAATTTCACATTATCAGTTAAAATCCCATTTAAAAGAAATGTTTTGAAAATTGAAAAGTGGTATTTTAAATAAATTTGGTAGTAGATACTCTAGCCAGCAAAATCCTTAAAGATGTAGAAATGCATTTTTAAAAGTTAAAAGAACCCTATAACTTGGAAACCATTTGACAATGTCTAAAATACTCCTAAGTTTTCATATACCCTAGTTTATTTATTTAAATTGGCCATAACAGTTTTAATTAGTTTCACTGTGGAAGAATTAGCTTTATTGAAGTAGATGCACTTCACTGAAAGCTGAACAACCTGATGTACCACAGATTTCCAACATAAACTATAATTCATAAAGGCCAATACAACTCTTTTCTTTGTAGCTGGGTAACCATTTATGTTTGAGGTGAAGATGTTAATATGGAAGTTTTGTGAGCTAAGAAAAAGGATGAATGCTATCATTCTAATTTATGACCTTTCATATAAGGCCAAATGTAAAGGCAACTTCAATTGTTTTATATTTCAGGGCCAGCACATAGCAGATGTGTGAAATTTGGAATGTTAGACATAAACTTTTATTACCAAATTATAAATAATTTCTCCCACTTATAATGTTCACCTTTCAAGTTCATCTTGATTAAAATACAAGGGCAGCTTCACAGTGATTTCACTGAATTATACAGCTGAGAGAGGTTTTCTAGAGTTTATGGTGGAGCGTGCAGTAGTAAAGCAATTGGAAGACTCTCCTCAGAGGACCTCAGACCCTGAGCGCATCTCTTTTGAAATTCAAGTCACACCAGAATGGTGGCTGGTGAAGTCTGAACATTTATTTAAACATCTTAAACATTATATCTTAAACTAAATGCCTATGATGCAGAATATATTCCCTTCTTGTGGTATAAATAAAAGGGATACAGAAAAAAGCATTTCCTGGGAAATTTGCATGTCTGTCAATAAGCTTATATCGCTTCTCAGAAGATTTTCAACAACTATAGAATGCCTTTCTTTCCTTTTTCTTTAACAAATAATTTTCACTTCCCATGATAAAAGATAATCACAATAGCCCCAAATCCCCAGAACTTAGATGTCATGGGTTTAAGTGCTTTTTACTGTCCTGTATTTGAAGGTCCAAGAAATGAGTTCCCACCCAGTCCAGGCCAGCCCTTCATACCAGCTAATGCGTGGCTCAAACAAGAGCAGCCAGCGTTCTTAGAGGCTTAATACTGATGCTGTGTATTAAAATCTACTTTGGGGACTGTTGATCAATCCAATTCCGTGTTTGTATCTATCGTCAACATCCTCATAAATATCGAAACACAATCACCCACAAACTGTTGGGTATTTTATAAAATAAGCTAGACATGATACCTTCTCTTATGAACATGAACCATTAAAGGAAATAGTTAAAGGCATAGATAAAAAGTACTGTAGAAATATGGAACAAATAATGAAATGGCAAAAGTTCATCTTAGTATTTGTATATCAGCATTCGCCTACTAAGAATAATAGCTTACGTTTGTACTATTCTCTTTATAAAGCCTTTTTATATACATTTTTTTCTTATTTGTTCATCACATAATTCCAGGGTAATAAGAGTAGCTTTTATTTTCCTCGTTGTAAGTTAAAGAAACAGGCTCAGATAAGTCAGTATTTACTGGACCAAGAAAAGTTTTGCAGTTCAAAAGTGGAAGAGGCAGAATTCAAACAATGAAACTTACTTCATGATCCTTATATTTTTAGTTTACCAGACAAAAACCCACATATAGACAGTGATAGAGATAGCTGGACTAAACCTTGTCAAATTATTTTGACAACTTTAGGGCTTCTTAATAAGTTAATGTTTGTGTGTAGGCTTTGAAGACTAGTTCTTTGTGGACTACTATTCCAGAAAAAGTCTTGCATATGTTTCCTTTGTATAATACAAGATGCTGGGGGAAAAAAAAGAAAGAAAGAAACACACACACACACACACACAATCCTGCAAAGTACTGAAAGTTGCTTCGTGAGTTAATACACACCAGTTCAAGCTGGGAGGGGGTTCTGAGAATTGTCACATTTTTAATGAGTTTAACTTGTAAAATAATTCTCGGTGCAGAGCCATTTGTCTAGTTTGGCCCTTACAGATCTGTGCCCCTTCGAAAGGGTTGCAGCTGCTCTGCAGATGAGCTATACCCCCAAAATTTCTCACTGCCCCCTGCCCACCATTACCAATCTCAATGGCTCAGCCAGGGCTCTGTGGTAAAGGGAAAGATGCTATGAATCAAAAAACTAAGTGAAACCAGTAAGGAATGTGGTGTAATTTGATGTCTTCTGTGGAGGTTTTTATATGTTTTTTTCTTATTATGTTTGTCCTTTGCAGCTAATTTTTGATTTAAATGGTACTCAAGATTTTTTATTTACATTATATTTTATATTGTAAGAACTTCAAGCACAACCTTCTCAAATATATCTGTAACTGCTTGGTCTTTATCCAAACTAAGCTTTTATAGAAGGATTTAAGGAAGTCTCTCTTCTCTACCAAATCACCCCCAGTTGTTCTCCGTCAATGTATTAATCAAAGGCTGATTTTTTCTGAGTTAGCTAAGAGAAACTTACAAGAGGGGGACCTCACTTTTGCTTTAGGGGAAAAAAAATTCTACATGTTAGATCCTAGTAACAGGCTTCAGGATCCGTTGTTTAAAGATATTAGCACTTAGTTTATGGTGTTACAAATCATAAATAGGATTAAAATCAAAGATTTAAACTGATGAGGATATAGGAAGAATATTGAGAATTCATACAAAATTCCAAACCAAGTTCCCATAGCAGCACTTAAGTAATGTCTGCACACATTTCCCATTAGAACTATTGTTGTAACGCAACTCAGTTTATGCCATGATAACAAGGAGTTACTTTAGCGATTTTAATTCTTTTTGTATCAATTAACATCGCCAAGGAGACAATCTCTTGCTGACTATGACTTCATCTTCTCACATTTAAATCAAAACACAAAGGTGGTTTAAAGATTTTGAGGAGATTTTGAGGCTGGTTGCTTTATTCATTTATTTATTTATTTGTATTAAACTATTCAGAGACATTTCTGGGTACGCAAAGACATAATTTGCCAGTAATTTCTAGTTTCCTATGACTTCAAGCTATTTCTTACATTTATGCAAAGAAATCCTGCCTAAACGATCACTTTCAGTTTTTTTTGGAGGGGTTGTTTTTGTTTTATTATTATTATATTTTAAAATACAGTATTCGGCTTTCCCTTAAGAGAGGACACCAATGCTTTCTACTTTAGTTCCACAGCACTGACTTTGCCAAGAGGCAAACCAAGACTTTGGGATTTGCGCGCGCCGGTGAGGTCTGGAATTTTCGGCCCCCGCGGGCTTCCGTAGCCGGGGAAAGCAATGATTGGCTGAGGCAGAAAAGTGCCGCTGCCTCGGTGCTTTCGGCTTTCGCTGCGATTGTCCGCGAGCGCCGGGCTAGTGCGGCGCATGCCACAGAAGTTCTGGGTACCGGCCGCTCGAGGTAAGCCGGCAGGCCACGCGAGCTAGGGAGCGGGCCGCGCGCAGACCAGGGTTCGGGGCCCCCGTGTTTCGTCGCTTCAGCAGAGTCCGGGGAGCGGCGACTGCAGCGGCCCCAAACCGGGAGCACCGGAAAGGGCCTGGCGGGAGCGGGGTTCGGGGCCAGGGAGGGAGCGCGGGCCCCAGAGACTGCTGGGTGTCGGGTGTCCGCGGAATGCCGCGCCTTTTCGCTCTCCTCGGCCTCGTCGGCGCCGGGTCACTGAACCTGGCCCTTGGAACCACTCCCCGCGAAGCGCCTAGACCGCGAGGTGAGGAATGGCACGGTCCTGGGTCCCGGGTCCCGGGTCCCGGGCCCCACGCCCCACCGAGTTTGCCTCCGAGACCATTCCCGTTTTTCTAAGCCCTTCAGGGCACCCTGACGCTAACCCGGAAATTTGGTTAGAAAGCAGACCAACACAGGCTTAGGCTTCGCCGGTTTCCAGGGAATTGCGGAGTCCCCCCTGACGTCCAGGTGGCTGCACCTGATCCCTAGGAATTAAGGGCTCCACCTCCGCGCTCCAGCCCGCCTCATAGAGTTGTCATGTGGGGGACACCCACGACTGTATGGTGTTAATTCCTACCGCCAGAGGTTTTCTGTGCACACGTGTATAGCTGGTATTTTTGTTTGGGGTCTAGGATTAGGACGCTAATTGGGAAGATAATGCTGATAGTGACTGAGTGTGTTCCCCCCACCCCCGGTAGTAATACATGACTCTCGTAGAAAAATTGAAAATACAGAAGGCTTTAGTGAAGAAAGTAATATTTATTGAACACTTCCATCCACAGTTTCTGTATTTCACTTTTGGATGTGTTGGTTTCTACTTAAACTAAGACTGTACCTAATTTTTTCACTGAACCGTATATACAGTTTTCTGCTTCCATTTCAGAAGTTCCTAAATGTGATTTCTAATTTTGTATCTTCTTTGGGAGAAGCCCTAGTGGCACAGTAGTTTAACTGCTCGGCTGCTCACGAAAAGGTTGGTGGTTCCAACCCACCAGCGGCTCCACAGGGGAAAGATGTGTCAGCCTGCTTCTGTAAGATTTACAGCGTTGGAAATTATGGGGCAGTTCTGCTCTGTCATGTTGGGTCACTATGAATCGGAATCGACTGGAGGGCAGTGAGTTTGGATCTTCTTTTGACTGGCTGCCTATTCCGTAGTAGTGTAGATCTCATGAATTATTCAGCTATTTCCCTGTTTGTGAGTTTTTGCTTTGCTTTAACATCCCAGATAATACTTTAATGATTTTTAAAAAATTATATTTCAGAACTAGATTCTCAGAAGTGAAATTATTAGGTTAGATGGTATGGACATTTTTAAGGGTCTTGATCCACATTGCAAATTGTTTCCAAAAAAGTTTTACTAGTTTACGTCATTCATTTACAAATGTATTTGTTTAACCAAAAGTATGATAGCTTGTAATACATTTCTAACACATCAGCCAGCAAAGTCCAGCCTCTTTCTGGAATTGTTTTTTGTTAGTGGTGTCCAGCAAGTCTGCTTGCTTGAATTTTGTGCAGGAATCTTCAGAAGCTTGTGTGTATGTGTATTATTGTAGTTATTGCATAGGCTCCCTGAATGTTAGAGCAGAAGAGACTGCAGTGATGCTCTAGCATAACTTCCTTATTTTGCAGATGAGGAAGCTGGGGCCATGAGAGGTGAAGTGATGAGTTATCCAAATCATGCAGCTAATTAAGTAGCAGAGCTGGGATTAGAACTCAGGTTTCCTGCCTCCTGAGTGAGTACTCTTTATGCTATATCAGGCTGTCTCTCACTGAACTGTGGCATAGTAGATAATAGAATTTAAAAAGACATTTACGTCACCTGGATTATTTTGTCATTTAAAAACTGTTCTTAATAACAAGGAGTTTAACCATATAAGGGACCTGTAACGCTGAAAAAATTTGAAAGTGGTCATTTTCATGGCCAAGACTAGAAATCCATGGTTTAGAGTAGCAACCATTTTGAGATTTTGACAGTTGTTTTCAGATTCTGCACATATTGGAATAAGTATCTCTGTTGTTGCTGCTGAGTCAGCTTTGACTCATGGCGACCTTATGTAAAACTGAACAAAATGTTTCCAGTCCTGCATATTCCTAATAAGTTATAATTTATACTCCAGTTTAGCTGTTGGGTCTCATTAGTTATGGCTTGAAGAGTTTTTAAAACTCCTTGCTGCTTTAAGACCAAAGAACAATAGTTTTTCAATTTTAGGGCTTATAGCATGGTTTCTTAACCCCCGTTGACATTTTGATCATTATGTTGTGCATTGTAGAATGTTTAGCAGCATGCCTGGCTCTACTCACTGGATACCAGCAGAACCACCCTCCCCAGTCACGATAATCAAAAAGTCTCACCTCCAGTTGAGAACTACTACTTACAGGAATTATTTGAGGAGCTGTATAAAATGTAAATTACACGGCGTTTGTCTAGAGAGCCTGACTAGGAGTTGTTGTTAGGTGCCACTGAGTTGGTTCCGACTCATAGCGACCTTATGTACAACAGAATGAAACGACTGCCCAGTCCTGTGCCGTCCTCACAATCGTTGTATGCTTGAGCCCATCATTGTAGCCACTGTGTCAGTCCCATCTCTTTGAGGGTCTTCTCTTCCGCTGACCCCCCAGTTTATCAAGCATGATGTCCTTCTCCAGGGACCTGTCCTTGCTGATAACATGTCCAAAGTACATGAGACGAAGTCTTACCCTCTTCTCTTCTAAGGAGCACTCCAGCTGTACTTCTTCCAAGATGGATCTGTTTGTTCTGCTGGCAGTCTGTGACGTATTCAATATTCTTTGCCAACACCATAATTAGAAGGCATCAATTCTTCTTTGGTCTTCTTTATTCATTGTCCAGCTTTCGCATGCATACGAGGCCACTGAAAATACCATGGCTTGGGTCAGGTGTACCTCAGTCCTCAAAGAGGCATCTTTGCTTTTTGACATTTTATAGAAGTCTTTTGCAGCAGAATGGCCCAGTGCAATACGTCATTGACTGCTCCTTCCATGGGCATTGATTGTGGATCCAGGTAAAATGAAATCCTTGACAATCTCAGTCTTTTCTCCGTTTATTATGACGTTGCTTATTGGTCCAGTTGTGAGGGTTTTTGTTTTCTGTGTGTTGAGGTGTAATCCATGCTGAAGGCTATAGTCTTTGATCTTCATCAGTAAGTGCTTCAAGTCCTCTTCATTTTCCACAAACAAGGTTGTGTCATCTGCATATCGCAGGTTGTTAATGAGTCTTCCTCCAATCCTGATGCCACGTTTTTCTTCATATTGTCCAACTTCTCTAATTATTTGCTCAGAATACAGATTGAATAAGTATAGTGAAAGGATACAACCTGATGCAGTATTCCCTTGTTCTGTTTGAATAACTACCTTTTGGTCTTCGGTGTATGTACAGGTTCCTCATGAGCACAATTAAGTGCTCTGGAAGTCCCATTCTTTGCAGTGTTATCCATAATTTGTTATGATCCACACAATCCACAGTGATAGGGTGATATCCATACACCTACAGGGAAGACCAGTTAATATGACTATTATTCAACTTTTCCACCATCCACTAAGTCCAGAGATGAAGAAATTGAAGATTTTTACCAACTTCTGCATTCTGAAATTGATCAAACGTACAGTCAGGATTCATTAATAATTACTGGTGATTGGAACGCAGAAGTTGGAAACGAAGAAGGATCAGTAGTGGGAAAATATGGCCTTGGTGACAGAAATGATGCCGGAGATTGCGTGATAGAATTTTGCAGGACCGGTGACTTATTCATTGCAAATACCTTTTTTCAACAACATAAACGGTGACTATACACGTGGACCTTGCCAGATGGAATACATAGGAATCAAACTGACTACACCTATGGGAAGAGACAATGGAGAAACTCAGTATCATCGGTCAGAACAAGGCCAGGATCTGACTGTGGAACAGATCATCAATTGTTCATATACAAGTTCAAGTTGAAGCTGAAGAAAATTAAAACAAGTCCATGAGAGCCAAAGTACGACCTTGAGTATATACCACTTGAATTTAGAGACCATCTCAACAATAGATTTGATGCATTGAACACTAATGATCAAAGACCAGAGGAGTTGTGGAATGCATCAAGGACATCAAGCATGAAGAAAGTAGAAGGTCGTTAAAAAGATGAGAAAGAAAGAAAAGACCAAAATGTCAGAAGAGACTCTGAAAGTTGCTCTTGAACATAGAGTAGCTAAAGTGAATGGAAGAGATGATGAAGTAAAAGAAGGGAAGATTTCCAAGGGCGGCTCGAGAAGACACAGTAAAGTGTTACAATGAAATATGCAAAGACCTGAAGTTAGAAAACCAAAATAGAAGAACGCTCTCGGCATTTCTCAAGCTGAAAGAACTAAATTCAAGCCTCGAGTTGCAATATTGAGGGATTCTATGGGCAAAATATTGAATGACACAGAAAGCATCAAAAGAATGTGGAAGGAATACACAGAGTCACCATGCCAAAAAGAATTAGTCAACGATCAACCATTTCAGGAGGTAACGTATCAGGAACCAATGATATTGAAGGAAGAAGTCCAAGCTGCACTGATGGCATTAGTGAAAAACAAGGCTTCAGGTATTGATGGAATACCAGCTGAGATGTTGCAACAAACAGATGCAGCACTGGAGATGCCCACTCATCTATGCCAAGAAATCTGGAAGACATCTGCCTGGCCACCTGACCGGGAGAGTTCCATATTTGTGCCCATTCCAAAGAAAGGTGATCTAGCAGAATGTGAACATTATTGCACAATATCATTAATATCAGTAAAATTTCGCTGAAGATAATTCAAAAGCGGTTGCAGCAGTACATTAACAGGGAAGTGCCAGAAATTCAAGCCAGGTTACAGAAGAGGACATGGAACGAGGGATATCATTGCTGATGTCAGATGAATCTTGGCTGAAAGCAGAAATACCAGAAAGATGTTTACTTGTGTTTTATTGACTCTGCAAAGGCATTTGATTTGTGGATCATAACAAATTATGGATGACCAGGAGTAGGCCTCAGGAATCTGCATCTTAACAAGCATCTCTGTTGATTCTGATGTAGCTGGTTCTTGAACAACGCAGAAACTTATCTATTCTTCTCTTCATCTCTCTCTTATTTGGTGGTGAGTAATAGAAATATTACTGTTTTGGTAGTTGAAATGCATGGAAGATACTGTACTAGTCACCCTTTCTGTAGTCTGAGGGGAGAAAAGACGGGTTTTGCTTGGTGCTGGCCTTGAACTTCTCCTGCAGGCTTAGGCAGTGTGCTCAGGTACCAGGACTACCAAATGAGTAAAACATTCTACCTGCCCAGCGAAGCTTGGGTTCCAACGTGGGATGCTGGTCAGCGAACAGGAAAATTACAAAACAGCCTGATTAGCGCCATGACTGAGAGTGGAAAAAAGTGCTCTGAGTACAGGGAGCACTGATCATTTGGCCCTCGGGAGAGAATGGAGGGAAGCAGCCCCCTACTGCATAGGGAGGAGGGAGTGATATTAAATGTCCAAAAGAAGGTTAGGCAGTCCGCTGTCTCAGAAGGGAGATGTTTAGAGACTTATTCTTCTCAGTGTCTGATGCTTTCCTCAGACACTGATATATTAGGTTAGTGCTGCATTATCTTGGGTTGTAACGTTATGCTTCCTTGCAAATTTTTGCTTTTCAAATTTTTTTCACCCTAAACTGTAAATATTCTAGGAGTGGATGAAAGTTTGTAGGTAGACATTGCCATGAAACAAGGATTTTCATGTCATCTGATCAGTGACATAAGTCAAAATCACATTGTTCCACTACTCACCTTATTAGAATAACTAAAATCCAAAACACTGACAACACCAGATGCTGGTGAAGATGTGAAGCAACAGGAATTCTTATCCACTATTGGTGGTAATACAAAATGGTACACTTTGGAAGACTGACAGTTTCTTATAAAGCTGAACATAGGCTTACCATACGATCTAGCCATCGTGTGCCTAAATCTTTACCCAAATGAGTTGAGTATGTATGTCCACATAAAAACCGGCACATAAATGTTTATAGCAGCGTTATCTATAATTGCCAAAAACTGGAAGCAACCAAGATGTCCTTCAGCAGGTGAGTGGATAAATAAACTGTAGTGCATCCGTAGAATGGAGTATTATTCAGTGATAAGAAATGACAACGTCAAGCTTAAAAAAAAGGAAATAGAGGAACTTACATGAACACTGCTAAGTGAAAGATATCTGTCTGAAAAAGCTATGTACTGTATGATTTTAAACTGACATTCTGGGAAAGGCAAAACGGGAGAAAGAGGAAAAAGATTAGTGGTTGTCAGGAGTTCAGGTTGAGAAAAGCATGGAAGGATGAATAGGTAGAGCATAAGGGATTTTTAGGGCAGTGAAACTGTTCTGTATGATACTATAATGGTAGATACAGGACATTATGCATTTATCAAAGCCATAGAATATACCATACAAAGAGTGAACTCTAATGTAAACTGTGGACTTTAATTAATAATAATGTATCAGTATTGGTTCATCAGTTGTAACAAATGCACCACAGGAATGCAAGATGCTGATAGAAAGTATGCAGAGGGGAGAGGGGGTATACTGGAACTCTACTTTGCACGGTTTTTCTGTTAACCTAAAACTGCTCTAAAAAATAAAATCCTTTTAAATTTTTTTGAGAAATCACATTAGATATGTTTCTGTTTGGCCATTATATTTCTTTTCAGGCTGATTTACAGTACTTTGTCACTCT